CTCGTCCCCAGTCGCTTTATTAAATTCGCGGGGAGGGGGATAAAGGGAGACATTGGAGGATAGAGTTTTAATTGAGGGGCGAAGGAAATGATGGGAAGGGGAGAAACGCGGAATTTGTTTCGTCTTCCCAGCATGCATCACAACAGATTTGTTCAGCCACTGATCTATATATTAAACTGATATGTCTATATATACACTGATCTACAAATAGTAAGGGCCTGCGGAGATTTTAATTTGTTTCGTCTTCCCAGCATGCATCACAACAGATTTGTTCAGCCACTGATCTATATATTAAACTGATATGTCTATATATACACTGATCTACAAATAGTAAGGGCCTGCGGAGGAGGCAGCCCATTTCACACAAATAGCGAATATTTTGCGTCATTGTGAAGACCTTATTTTTCGCTGTTTCTTTACAACGTTGTAGGAAGCCACCTTAAAGTTTTTTATAAATCTGCGGGATTTCGACAATTAACAAACCGATGAGCAGTGGCCTAGCCACTGGGACGAGTCCCCCCACTCTCCTTCAGAACCACCTTTGAGATATGTTTCAATCCGTAGAGATACTGGGGGGGGGGTTAACACTGATCCGATTTCATGTCCAGCTTAGTAATCTAATAACTGAAGACGCAGGCGTTCTTGACTGAATTATGATGTTATAATCTTCTGAAATTTTATAAAATCTCCCCCCCTCCCAAATGCACGAAATGACGTTTCAGAGGCTCTGAGTTTCAAAATTTTTCCGGGGGAGCATGGACTCCCCCTGACCCCTTAGTGCTTGCGCCTTCGGCGCTCAACTTGTCCTCCCCCCACACACACACGCACACACACTTGGTAAAGGGTAAACCCTGGCTACGCCACTGCCGATGAGTCCAGGCCTCCAGGTAGACGAGTCCAGGGGGGTGTTATAGATTCAGTCCACATCCTCTGGTCCACATCATATTTGTGTTGATGGCGCTTGTAAATATTTTGACGTTTTGAATAGTTTTGATGCCGGTTGTCGGTCTAGAATTATCGGAAATGATTCAATAACAACACTGGATTTTCGAAAGATAAATTCTGCTATGTATTATAGACTGGTTATATATACAGTAGAATCAAGTCTAAAAGACTAAAACATCAAAGCTATTTTATACTGTATGGGATATTTTAATATAAAGAAGGTAAAAAATCACGAATAGCTTAAACATGTAATTGGAACGCCGGTGTATAAACTTTAACGTGGCGGAAACGTACAAAATTGGAAAAAATATGGATCAGAATCAAAATTGCCATAAAAACAACGAGTTTTTGTTTAAAGTTTTGATAATCGGTGATGTGGCAGTGGGAAAATCGTCTATTATGAAAAGATTCGCAGAAAATGTGTTCGATCGTAAATATGGCTCTACAATTGGCGTGGATTTCAAAACTAAGAAGTTAAAGCTTGGAGGCAAGGCTGTAAAATTACAGATTTGGGATACAGGTTAGTGTATAAAATAACTAGATATATGAAAATAATAGAGTGATTCCCCCCCCCCCCCTGCCATTGGGGGTGGGGAAGAAAAAAATATCTATTTGCAGGTTGATGTGTGGGTGTGACATTCTGAAATCACCAGTTTATTTAGCCTGTGTGCAGTCCTGGACTCACACAGGCTACAGTTTATTGTAATCATGTGTGCTGTATCAGCATTTCCTTAGCCGATTTTAATGCGAAATTATGATGTGTCGGTAATATTCTGTTTTGTAGCTGGCCATGAAAGATTCCGAAGTATCACGTCAGCTTTTTACCGAGGAGCTCATGGCATTGTTCTGGTTTACGATGTCACAAGGATGGAAACTTTTACAAATATTCCAAAATGGTTGCAAGAACTTGATCTTCAAGACTATAATTGTACTGTCAAAATTTTGTTTGGAAACAAGAGTGATTTGTCTTCGGAAAGAGATGTCCCAAGGGAAACAGCATTTAAATATGCAGATTCCAATAACATGTTTTTGTTTGAGACCAGTGCCAAGACTGGAAACAGTGTGAATGAAGCGTTTGAACATTTAGTATCTAGAATGCTTGTAGCTTTTCATGAGGCTGAATCTACTGCTACAAAGCCAATTTTATCTGGAGATCTATCAACTTGCATATTGTCAGAACAGGAAAAAATTATTGCAGGATCTGGGTGTTCATGTTAGAGAAATATTATGACCAGGGCCATCAGAAGTGCATGGGAGAGTCAATAATATCCTCACTCCGATGAGGATTCTATTTCTTTTTATATTTCATTTCTTTCTTGCGCAGGCAATTACATTCAAATTATCTGTAACAGTTCATTGTTACATTGTTATTGTGTTTATATCAAAAGGAACAAAACCAATGCATTCATGTTTGTGATTGCATACAGAGTAACAGAGCAAAGGTTGTTTCAAAACTGGGAGGAATGAAGTTGTAAAATGTTAAAAAGCAGGGACGTGCTGGCCAAGGATGAACCAATGAGAACTTGTTGTGGGCCCCTGCCATCATGGGCCCATAAACATTGGAAAAGATAAAAATATAGATTTTAAGTTTGAAAATCAAGATTAAGATATTACAATTTAGATTTTAAAAATCTAAATTTACGAAAATATTTATTTACTGAAAAATTTAACAACAACAACAATTTCAGGAAAAAAAATTAATTAGCGACTGATATGTTTAATGTTCGATCAGTAATACCACCCACCCCAATCTTGATCCATGCCTGGGCCCCATCAGACTGTTCATTCGTCGTCCTTTTCAAAGACCCCAGCACGTCCCTGTTATAGAGTGAATTACAAAATCTTGAATTTTTAAATGCAAGAAATTCATAACAACAATAAACATCCCTCCCAGGAAGCGCGGAAATTGATCTTCCGAGTCTTAAATGAAAGTACAAAATTGTTCTGGGGGAGCTTGCTCCCCCCCCCCCCCCC